ATACAGTAGTCATTATATAGTAGCAGTCATTATACAGTAGTCATTATACAGTAGCAGTCATTATATAGTAGCAGTCATATAATAGTAGTAATTATATAGTAACAGTCATTATATAGTAGCAGTCATTATACAGTAGCAGTCATATTATAGTAGCAGCCATTATACAGTGGCAGTCATATTATAGTAGTAGTCATTATATAGTAGCAGTCATTATACAGTAGCAGTCATATTATAGTAGCAGTCATATTATAGTAGCAGTCATTATACAGTAGCAGTCATTATAGAGTAGTAGTCATTATATAGTAGCAGTCACTATATAGTAGCAGTCATATTATAGTAGCAGTCATTATACAGTAGTCATTATATAGTAGTAGCAGTCATTATATAGTAGCAGTCATTATATAGTAGCAGTCATTATATAGTAGTAGTCATATTATAGTAGCAGTCATTATATAGTAGTAGTCATTATATAGTAGTAGTCATTATATAGTAGCAGTCATTATACAGTAGCAGTCATATTATAGTAGCAGCCATTATACAGTAGCAGTCATATTATAGTAGCAGTCATTATACAGTAGCAGTCATATTATAGTAGCAGTCATATTATAGTAGCAGCCATTATAAAGTAGCAGTCATATTATAGTAGCAGTCATTATATAGTAGCAGTCGTTATATAGCAGTCATTATATAGTAGTAGTCATTATATAGTCACTATCATCCTCCCTTGACCTTACATATAACCTTTCTACAATCACCATCAATTTACCATCATCCTAAGGCATCCAATATCGCGTTCCTTCCTGCTCATCATAAGCTTTTACTCAATATCACCTTAGCCTCACCAATATTCTCATCACCATTAACTTTTCATCATCATCATCGCCATCATCATTATGGTAGTGTCTTCTAAAATATATTATCATTCTTCAACGTATGCAAGTCTTGTAATGTCAATCTTATCATCGTATCATTTTCTTCTTCGTCTTCTTCTTAACACTGTCTCTTGTACTAACGTGAATAATATCGATACATTATAGGAATTCCTTCATAGTTTCTTTCAAATAAAAATAAATTTTCCAATTCGATCTATTCTGGTAAGATGCAGATGGTTGTATAGAAGTCCGGGGCTGGGCTGGGCTGGGCTGGGCTGGGCTGGGCTGGTAATTTTCAAGCATACACCAGACAACTACAGCATTGTTCAACCGTGTTCTGCCGAGAGCTCTGATACACCGCACTAACACACCTCTTTTGCCACGGACTCACCCACTCCACTATTACAGTACCACTACACCACCACTATAACACCACAGCACCACCACACCACACCACACCACCACCACACCACCTTTACAACCCTCTTAACACCAAAGTTCTCAATATTCGCCCCAAATTTTACCCACTGCCTATTTCCCAACTCTCGCCGCCCAGTTCCCAGTTTACAGCCTTACACCTTCACAGACGCTTCTTCCCCCCCACCGTACCTGACGCCCACGCTAATTATATAATAATATCTTCACTATTACTCGGTTGGTAAAGTTCCCACTCTCACTCACTCACTCTACTTTAACATATAATATTACTCATTTTACACTTCACCATCACCCCCTCACACCAGCCACTTCACCATCACCCCCCTCACTTCACCATCACCCCCTCACTTCACCACGTCACCATCACCCCCCTCACATCAGCCACTTCACCATCACCCCCCAACTACGACACCATTCACTAATATATGTCTCACCACCCGCCTCCTCCGGTCACCACCCGCCTCCTCCGGTCACCACCCGCCTCCTCCGGTCACCACCCCTCCTCCTCCGGGTCACCACCCACCTCCTCCGGTCACCACCCGCCTCCTCCGGCCAGGGTGAACAAGTGTTCCTGGTGAAGCAAGGTGACGGTGGGTGTTCCTCGTCAGTGTTCCGCCTCTCCCTGGCGCTGGGTGGCCTCCTGTTGCTCTTCGGCGTCGTCGCCTTCGTCGTCGCTGCCTGTGCCGCCCGCAGGATCGTCGTCGTCGGCCAGGTGAGATAAACAGGTCAAATTATCACAGGTAAGCGATGTATTAGGCGGTATTATCACAGGTAAATGATGTATTAGGCGTAATTATCACAGGTAAGCGATGTATTAGGCGGAATTATCACAGGTAAATGATGTATTAGGCGTAATTATCACAGGTAAGCGATGTATTAGGCGTAATTATCACAGGTAAGCGATGTATTAGGCGGAATTATCACAGGTAAATGATGTATTAGGCGTAATTATCACAGGTAAATGATGTATTAGGCGTAATTATCACAGGTAAGCGATGTATTAGGCGTAATTATCACAGGTAAGCGATGTATTAGGCGGAATTATCACAGGTAAGCGATGTATTAGGCGGAATTATCACAGGTAAACGGTGTATTAGGCGGAATTATCACAGGTAAGCGATGTATTAGGCGGAATTATCACAGGTAAACGGTGTATTAGGCGGAATTATCACAGGTAAGCGATGTATTAGGCGGAATTATCACAGGTAAACGGTGTATTTGTGGTATGAGGTAAGGTAAGTTAAGGTAAGGTAAGGTTAGGTATTTGTGTTATGAAGTTATGGACAAAAACTGTGGTTATATCCCACTGTGTTGTGTTGACACAGGACGGGGAGGTCTCGGTGGTGGACCGGGTGGCGTCAGTACACAACGCTCAGGTGGACGCCCTACTGCTGGTGGGTCTCGTCGCCGTCACTCTGGGCTCCACTGTTGTCGCCGCCGCTCTCATATCCCGCACCTTCTGCTCCCGGCCTGACGAACCTCCTTATCCATTCCGGTGAGTGATCTAATATGCTCCGGTAAGTGATCCAAGGTGCTCCTAACGTAACCTGATCTAATGTATATATGATCTAACGTAACCTGATCTAACGTAACTTATCCCATATATCACCAGGTGTCAAAACACTATAACACCACAAGCTAAAATATCCTCCCATTATGTGGTGGTGATACACTCCATCTCTCCCCACAGGATGAGTCAGTATGTGCTGGAGCCGCCGCCACTATCACCAACGGATAACAAAGTGCCAGTAACCGAGAGACTAACACAGGTACAGCCAACCTGGGGCCTCCCGACCTACACCAGCGTCACTAACGTTATGCCTCTTCCCTGACTCCTACAGCTGCCGCTCTCAAAACAAGGGGCGAGAGAGCGATTTGTTTCCGCTGAGAGATGAGAACCAAAAATATAGATCTTTCTCATTACGTCCAAGGGGCTAGAGGTCATATTTCTGCTGAGAGATGAGAACAAAAGTATAGATGTTTCTCACCACGTCCAAGAGGCTAAAATGATTTGTTTCCGCTGAGACATGAGAACAAAAGCATAGATCTTTCTCACCACGTCCAAGGGGCTAGAGGGGGGCTTATTTCCGCTGAGAGATGAGAACCAAAATACAGATGTTTCTCACCACGTCCACAAAACCAAAATATATCAAGTTAACTTACTATCTAACATTAAATCCTTCAGTAAAAAGACCTAGATGCAAATTAACACGAAAAGCTGAATAGAAAAAATAAGGAATATTAACCTCTCACAGTAAATATAATAACAGGAAATATTTAACAACGATGCATGTTTTTTGTCTTTATACTGGAATTAATGATGAGTTTGGGTGAGCCTTTCCGGTCAGTGAGTGAGTCCGTCAGCCGGGTCATTGAGTCCGTCAGCCGGGTCATTGAGTCAGTCAGCCGGGTCATTGAGTCCGTCAGCCGGGTCATTGAGTCCGTCAGCCGGGTCATTGAGTCAGTCAGCCTGGCAAGTTTACGTGACACTCCGGTTTATGACGTAACGACACTCGCTCTTCCGACAGGAGTACTGTACTGTACCCAGAACAGTATTGTATACCAGTATTTGTTAAACAAAAGATTAATTAATAAGTGTTTAGATAAGTATATTTTGCTTATTTTGGGACTTATAACATCAAATTGTGCTAATGAAGTAATAAAAATAATTCTAAACATCTGAATGAAGAATAACCGCCACTTAAGAATTTAACATTTTCAGTAATCTCCTTCATTATGAGGTAAAATAATGGCATATATTTCATCTATATTGACCTTGGCCAGTCCACTGGTTATTTCAAGTTCTCATAACTTAACCTAACCTCACCAAGATATGATAATTAATACAAAAAATACCATAAGAAATTCTACCTTGGAGTCCATAAACTGAGAGACGCAGTGTAGTTGTGTGGATGGTGTCGCTGACCAGACGAGCTGCTATACTCTATAAACACCCTCATATGATATACCGTTTATATATCACATCCATCATCTAAAGTAATAACATCTTACTACTGTACGCTGCCGCCTTGTTGTGGACCAGGAAAATTATAAACAGTATTTACAAAGCGCATTTATCATCAACGGAATTTGTATGTTAAAGTACTTGTTATGGTTTCAATGTACTAGATCTATGTTCCTTAACGAACAACTTAAGTGTTATATACTTGCCCAAGTGTCTATCAAGTGTCTCAAGCGTGGAGGACACATTGTCGTGTTGGTTGTGTATACAAGGAAGCAGTTTGAGAGTCAAACCAAGATGATGTAATATTCCAAAACACATTATTATTATTATGAAAACAAAAAAATATCTAAATTCAAATTACTAAAATTCGATTATCGTACTGATTTTTTCTTCACTTTTTCTCTCCATTGGTTTGACGTTAAAACTTGACCCCAAATTAGCTGCTACTGTACTGTACACCATGAGCTTCATTACTGTAGTTGGTTATGTCCGCTGCCTCCCGCCAGAGTGTTTGGCTCAGCTGGCCGGAAGTGAGAGGTGACATAGCCTCTGTGTTCGTGCTCTTGTTGTTAATTATAATGATATACATTGGCTTATGACCATACTACTCTGGAAACATTGTAGTAAAAAACGATCATAATATAATGTATGACGTCACTGTATGTGTGTCTCATCTTACAAGTGTGTATAATGACGTGGGGGCCTTCACAAGTATTTTAACTATAATCATTAATTTTTTTTGTCGCGTGAATATTACAATGGCGTGCCAATACCTGTTACAAAAATAATTTATTCTAAAAGAAAACTAAATAAATTAACAATTGTTGGTTAGTATACTGTATACAGTACAGTACGATGGTAAATTATTATATTCTATTTTAATCACCTTTATGTACACGAGTGTTACTGTGCTGAACATGTTTTTAACTTGTACAAAAACAGATTTAAAAAAGAAGATATTTTGATGTTGAACTTTAAGTATAATATAATGAGTAAGTGCGCTCGTGTTCCTTTGTATAACTTCTGTATCCGTTGTGAACTTGTAGATAATATATTTTAGTGGAGTGTTGGCCTCTTGTTTTTAATTAACCTTTATAAAACAATATAGTCAACGAGAAACTGTAAATGAAAATAAAAGTGGCTTAGTGTAAATAAAAGTAAAACATGCTCATTAACAGCTCATCAACCTGGGACTTGATCACATATGGCATCAGGGTCCACCATTAGGCTTCCAATGTCTTCCAGTACCTCCCTGTGTGACAGCTGCCTACTACCTTAATAAATGAAACTATAAAATAATCTAAAAAAAAATACATAAATAAATAAAATAAAATAAAGCTTAAAAAATGAAAATGCAAATAACATAAAAAGCTTAATAAATGAAACTAAATAAAAAACTAAATACAGTAAATGAACCTGTAAATTAATCTAAAAACCTTAGTAAATGAAACTGAATTAGTCTAAAAAGATTAATAAATGTAACTGTAAATGAATATAAAAATGCTTAAGAAATGATTTTGTATATAACTATAAAAAAGTATATCTTTCAGAAATACTGTTCATAACTATCTACTCTACTCAGACTTCACCTGAAAAAGAGAACTTTACATTCATACTGAACTGAAAGATACTGTACTATACTGTATTCTCCACCTGAAACTAAATGTGCATAAGTGTTGCATCGAAATTCATAACCAAATAATTTTTAGCTGATCTTGAAAATAACTTTACAAAACCATTGCACGTGAACATTAACTCCATACACAATAAATATTACATTTAATTAAAAAAATAAAAATTAACACGGGTAAATTATCTTTCATCTGATAATAAAGTTTGCCATGATATATATACAGTATGTATTTGTCCCTGATATAAAATAATTTGTCTGCACTATAAATTAGACATGAACATTAACTGCACTTAAAATAAACTTCACATATCAAAATTATATGTCGTGAGAAGAAATACATATCTAGAAAAAATAGCATTTATGGTGCAGTAAAATACATGCACCTTACCTCCATCTGAAAAATAAATACTACACTACCTCTATAAACTTCATTCTAGGTGTTAATTATACTATTAATTAAACCTATACATTATAAACTAAGCTAACCTAACCTAACCAAGCCTTGATTTATCTCAGTACATGAAGTTATCACCGCTAGGTTGCTTGTACTGAACGGTCTGCAGGGTTAGTAAGATAGTACTGAACATGCAATAAAAATAAAGTTTGCTCCCTGATAAAGCAAGGCTCAGTATGCAAAGTTTATCCCCACTTTATAAAATAATGAATTCAATTGTTATCTTCAGGCCCCTTAACGCCTATGTTTATTTCAAAGTAACTTTAAATTTTGTCTTAGTATATTTTAATAAATTTTTAACAAATCATAAATCTGGATGTGCATATTTAAATCTGGACCATAGTATTAGGGATGGATTTCAAAGGCGTTTAGAAAGTGTTAATTTAAGAGTTCATAAAACATATTTTTAACGATCTAGTGAAACATATATGATTACATTTATACATAAAATATCAAAATTAATACTAAAACTAATACTGATTTTAATATTGTCACAACCATAGGAAACTTTTAGTGTTTATATGACGTCAATAATGTGGCAAAGAACCTCTGGAGCTCATGACGTCACTGTTGCCCGGCACAAACTCAACAAGAAATCAGGCCGATCACTTGCTCAGTTTTTGTGTGTTTATCACAAATTAAATACAGGGATGATATCTACCAGCACCAAGAATACTTGTAAGGATTAAGAATGGAGCAATAGCGACATTACAACTGCTGTGTTCAAAAGGTAAGCCTAAATTATTTCAGCTATAGGCCTTGGATGGTATGTCGTCCTGACTCACCTTACGAAAAAATGGATTATGAAGAAATTATTTAGGCGTATTTGTGATTGAGTTTTGTAAATAGCATCAGGGATCGTCCAAGATCAGAATAGTGAACACCATACAGTAATTTTCTGTTAGGAGGGGATCGAAATCAGCTGGTTTGTGTAAATGAACAGATTCGTCCATATTAGTTCTCTCCATGTAACTGATTACGGTAACTTTACTCTTAATAAGTCGACTATATCTCAAAATTCTAGCAGTCGTATCCTGTAAAAATATACATACATAATTAAATGCCTAGTTATAACACCCCAGAGATGCATTTTAGAAAGTTTGTGACAGTAGCAGTTACCTCATTAATTTCTCTATCGATTTGTTTCTAAGTTAATTCTTGGTTTATTATAGCTAATGAAACTGTTGGATGGAAGTCGATTTAACGGTCATTTTAAGCGGCCAAAGTTCCCTCGACATTCAGTAATAACTAATACCAAAGTAATTTATCTTTTTTCTATACAATTCAAATATTTTTCTTGGAGTTTTTCCTTATCATATTACTTCTTCATATGTTTTCATAATGTATATTGTTTACTATATATTTATGAAAAATCTTTTTTTTTAGGTTTTTCCCCGTATATTTAAATAAGAAAAACTATCTGTGTGTGTAGTGCTGGACGCCCGAGGAACAAAGCCTCGCTCAAAGTGATGTGTATTGGAGAGAAGGTTCGATATGAGAGCTGCAGGGATTTTATTGCTATAAAGTCTAGGGTATTATCCAAGATAGTTTCATTTACAGTGTCTTTCGTTTACTTAATTAACACGTGAGATTGACGGGAGAGCTTACAAAGAGAAGCGTAAGGGAAGTTATACTGCATCTGTCCTGTAAGATATAAACTATAAACGATTGAATGAATGAATAAACCTTAGAATGATGACTAATGAATAAGTTAATCACACACCAGAGGATGTTCATTGACTTTGTAATAGAGGAAGATATAACGACACAATAAATTAAATAAAACTTAAATCCACGAAAAACAACAAATTCCCAGATCATGACTCCATACCAATAAAGGCCATAAAAACAATTGACTCCATCATGAAACTATCATGGACAACGAATATCCTCTCAGAAATATAACAAATTAACCTTCTGTTTAGGAATAAAAGGTTATCCCTATTGAACAAAATAGGAACAGTGTATGAAAGAATTTGAGAGAGAAGGTTAAGAGAAATAAAAAGACTCAGAGTCAGCGTGGGTTTAGAGCTGGAAATTGCGCCAGAATTTACCTTAAGAAAAACTGATATTGAGACAGTGTAAAACTTATGCTGTTTATAAGCGCCCAAAAAACTTGTATGGAACGTTTTATATAATGTAGGTTTAGCCCAGAGGCTTCCCAGTGCAATTTGAAGTACACAAAACAAACGCGCATCACCATAGAGAAAATTCTTTTGACAAAAATATTGGTGTCAGGTAGGGAAAAGTCTTCTCTCCTTCCCCCTTTATATATATATATATATTTGATAAAGTTATTGGAGAAGTAAATCAAAGAGATGAACTGACTGAATGATTAGCATATAGAGCAGATGTAGCTCAGGCAGCGAGGAGCAGATTTAGGCCACGGAATATGATGACACTGGGGATGGATAATGCTCTTAAGCGACACTGGTTAAAGCTGAACTATGACAACACAAGAGTAGCTGGATGAAATACTGCACATGGACGAAGATTGCGGGTCAACAACCTAACCTAACTACTCTACTCATAACCTAACCAAACCAAGTCAGCCCTAACTTAACCTAACCTAAAACATCACCAACATGAGACCTGGAGCGAATATCTGATTGGCACTACAAGGTTATCAAACACGAAGTAGATAGAACGATGGAATTCACGGGATAATGCAAAGAACATGGAGAGCAGCTGAAGTTCTCTGTCAAGGGCAGAGTTATGTCAACGAGATCCTACACACTAACACAGTCTCCTGGACGTCTGTCTAGTTGAGATGGGGAAGTGTTTATCTTGAATGATTATTTTGCTCATCAATTTGAATTTACGAAAAAAGATAAAATATGATCGAAATTATTATGGTTATGACATAATTATTCTTAAAGTGTAGTGAATACACACACACACACACACAGTTCAGATGAGAGTGGAAAGATAAATACTGTACAGATAATAAATTAACACCTTAATGATGTTTAATAAGGGCGAACATGAGATGAATAATAGGTAGATAAAGTGTGAGGTAGAAGGGAAGATTTAAGAGAGAATTAATGGGGGGGTCAATACCCTAGGCTGCAGGTAGCGTAGGGAAGAGGCGACCTTACAACGGTCGGGGGTGACTGGGTACGTGTGTTAGGGTTAGGCTAGTGAACACAGGCGGCGGCAGGAGGTGAGTGAGTAACAGCCAGTGTGGGGGAATGTCAGAACAAAATATACCAGCACAGAATGACATATGTATCCAATGATATATCTTGTCACTTACGAATATATATGTGAAAAGCAAGAAGGAGGTAAGTTGATATGAATGATATGCACCAAGTAAAGAGTCGACACCCATCCTTAGTATTTTCAAGCGTTGAAAATAATCCTTTATCTCGTGTGGACTCGTGCCAACCCTAATACCATAGGTCGATGGTCTTGGTAGGTTAAGAAGCCTCTAGGACTCTAGGACCGTAAAAACACAAGAATGTTATTATGAGCTTCTTAAGTTTCTGAAGTGAATATGGTGAAGGATGTGTTCAATAGATGGCGCTGGGTTTTAGTGTACATGTACAGTAAAACTTGTATTTAACGGACTACATAGAAAGGAAAGTCCATTATATGAAAGGTCCGTTAGCTATGAAACCTCCATCCAACGAACTATATAGATAAGAAAATCCGTTATATCTAGGGTCCGTTAGATGTGAAACCCCCATCTAACGGATTATATGGTGTGAGATGTATGTGGAGCTCTGTGATTGGTCGTGGTGTTGATATGAGTGACCCGGTGAGTGTAGCGGAGATCAGTTACGACGGTGCAGTGGTAACGTTATTGGACCTCTTACTGCACCAGGTTAATTAGGGATATTCTTAGTACTGCTACCTGTCAAGAAGGTAATTAATATATTTTTAGTATTTTAAGATAGGAATCACCTAATTAATTAAACATCATTATTATTATTATTATTATACAGGTTTTATTATAGACTTTGTTTTAAGTGATAGCCTAAAA